GTTGACTTGAAAACTGCAACAATAATATAGAAAGCACAAAATTTTCCCCTCCCAAACTCTATTCAGAGGTTTAGTAAAAAACTAAACCAAACCAAAATGTAGGTAAGTACTGGAAACATATTATGTACTGATATGTAAAATCTTAAAATTAAGAGAATGTGTAGTCAAGCACCAACTCAAGGTGTTCGTGCCTATTCAAAGATGGTTTTACCCACTCTTTGAAAATCAAATATTATGCACAAAAATGCTGCAGAGTCACAGAAACTGTTTTCAAAAATCATCCCTTAGACTCCATCTACTTTACTGAGTTGAATAATTTGTCTAAACACGATACCCAAGTCCAGTGAGTGCCATAGGAAGACAAACAATTAGCCAGTCAACACCATGTTTGGGACCAACAGTGTCATCAAGTTGTTTACACGCTTTAGTCAGTGGTTAGGGGAAATCACATACTCTTCCCCACAGAAATTAAAGTGGAGACAATGTCTGGGAATGACTGGGAATACTCTGTAACAAGTAGACAATTCTCTCTGATAGAAGAAAAGTTCAAATTAAAATCAATTCATGTTTAAGCCCGACATGAGACTGCAACAGGCCGAAAGAAAGAAAGTGATTTAAACCCTAAAAATAGGTACTTTGGGCCATGTAAAGGAATAACTCTGTGCTTCTCTGCAGATGTAACAAATTGCTATTTCTGCTGGTGGGTGTTTGCCTAATCATGATCACCAGCTGGGGCTCTGAGCTTACCGCCTTTATAGTTTCCAAGCTACAATACAGGTGACACAGCTGACATGAAATATAGCAGAATTACTGTGAACAAATTAACTGGTTATATAACATGTAATATAAGTACTTTATTGGCGAGCTGTTAACATGAACATGGAGGAAGTTATTAGACTTGAAGGGCATGTGGACCACTATATCACTCACACCAATATATCAATCTCTCCCAATAGTATAAAAAATTACATTGAATTATTACAGCCTAGCAAATGAAGCAGCTCCCCCGTCCTCCCTTCTCCTACTCTCGTCTTAAAATAAATATCTCCTAGACACAAGTTAAAAGCCTTGAGGCCACAAAATCAATTTTTCATAGGCAGGGGGTAATAAAGAGTCTTGATCCTGCTTTTCCTGTCTTTGGAGCAGCAACATGGCTCACTACCATCTGAAGCTACAGCCAAGTGGATATGGGCCAGTGCACAAATCTAACAGGTATAGGGAAGAGTTGGCTGCACTTCGCCCTGCAGTTGGTTGATAATTTTTCAAAATAAAAGGCTGAGTGACCATCACAGAGTTTGCATGGCTATTTATCCACCGACTCCCAAACTATGGCCCTGTCACTTTGGAATGGCCCTGCAGAGAATCAAAGGCCAGAGGATAAAAGTACCTTTCACATTCTGGGTCATTGCATTACTCAGCCTTTCTAGCTGTAAGGGCTTAGGACTACTTTACCCGAGCTCAAATCAATAAAAGGACCAACAGTCCATTTCACTTTCAGACCAAAAAATGTGAAGACAAGCAGGTATTATATTGTATGCTGTATATTGGGATCATTTTCTTGATGTTGCTACAAGGGTGGTACAACACCAGGTAATGTGAGTGTTTTTTCTAACTCATTTGTGTGGTTCTACTTAACACTGTTGGTAAATCTCCATGCTGGCTTTATTGGTGACCCACAATGCTCCTGTGAGCAGGTTTTCAGAGTTTGTCTCAGAGACTTATGGACTGTGATGTGCTGAATTAAAATAGCAAGTTGTGGTTTCCAAGCTATTATATTATTCACATTTTACTTCTATGTATACACTTTAGATGTTTTAATTATAGTTTGTATTCTATTTTTTAAACAATTTATAAATCAGAAAAGTCATATATAGAAAAACGTAATATTATATTAGAAACCGTAGTAGGATTATTCACAATAAAATAACTGTGGTGAACTTATTTTGAGAGCAGCCTTCAGAGCCATGTGCCTATTTTTTAGCTTTGTGGCCTCTAAATGCTAGCTTCAGCTTGAAGAACTCTAATGATAATAATAATAATAACGGATTGCATTTATATAGCGCTTTTCGGGACCCCTCAAAGCGCTTTACAATACCACTATTCATTCACTCTCACATTCATACACTGGTGAAGGCAGCTACAGTTGTAGCCACAGCTGCCCTGGGGCAGACTGACAGAAGCGAGGCTGCCATATCGCGCCATCGGCCCCTCTGGCTATCACCAGTAGGCGGCAGGTGAAGTGTCTTGCCCAAGGACACAACAACCGAGACTGTCCGAGCCGGGGCTCGAACCGGCAACCTTCCGATTACAAGACAAACACCCAACTCTTCAGCCACAATCGCCCCATTGCATTGCAACTCTAGGGCTGCAAGAAAGGTCTACAAACTCTTCCAGTAGCCCTGTTGGTCTTTCCTCCTAAACTAGAGTGAAAAAAGGGAGAAGTTTTCATGTACTTGGTAACTAAATGAAAGGATTATAGTCTGTCACACTTCGGGAATTGAATCCTCCGTGTACATCAAAAAAGAAAAGGGAACCCTCCCAAACAACCTGTAGGCTAAAACAGCATGTCAGCTATCACCACTGGGTTTTTTTTGCCAGGTTCATCTAAAGCTCCATCTCACAGAGTGACCCTGCCTCAAAATCTGGGTATTATTCCAGCTGATATTACATCTACTTCAGCAGTTTTCACCTGTTTTGTTCTGTTGGCTTGCAGAGCATAAAAGCCTGTCTGATTTTTTCTTTCACCCAATGGAAAGGGTCACAGGTAGTTCAGCAGTTAGATAAATTACTTATCTTGACGTGAATTGCTGTTTTAAATCTGATTGTACAAATCATATATCAAGCTTTGTATGTTGCTTGCTGAAAGCTATATGAACAAAATATTGGAATGAGTGTCCCCCCTCCCCTCCCATTGGATACTAGGGGAAAAATGAATTGCCATATCTCTACTTCTTCTTCTTCTTCTTTTTCTGACAGGTCCCTTTAGGTATTGCCACAGCTGATCATCCATCTACCTAGCATCCTCCTCTGTCACATCGAGCCCCTACATGTCCTCATTCACTACATCCATTCACCTTCTAGTTGGTCTTCCTCTTTTCCTCCCTCCTGGCAGCTTCATAGTCACCATTTTTTCACCTCTGCACACAAATCATCTCAACTTTGCCTGAAAACTGCTCAACCTGAGCTGCCCACCTGATATACTTGTTTCTAATCCTGGTCATTCCGAGTGAAAATCAAACCATCTTTAAATCTGTACCTCCAGCTCTTTCTATCTTAAAAGTCATAATGTAGATGAATGACAGTTTCAAGAAAAAAACCTGTCAGAACATTTTCAGTACACTTCTTTCTACAAGACTCTAAAATGCTGCTGAAGGCAATAATCATTTGGTCTCCAAAAGGCAGTCCCTCATTTGGTGTTTTGCTGATGGCAGTGGTTTAAATCTCACTTGTCAACACTGTCAAGATCTGATTACTGTGACAGCGCTATCATCCTTCAATGGATCACTCCAAAGTGGGTAGAAATCTTGCCTTATAGGACAAACTTCAGAACTACTGGCCTAATTTCCAGTGACCCTTGCCATCAAATGGCACAAGTGGACCAAAACCATACCACAAAAATGCTTCTCAAAAACTGAGGAACTCATTGTTTGGGTTAAAAGTTGTTGTTTCTGACTTAAGCTGACTTAAATCTGAAAAGTGAGACTGGATCAAATCATCAAGACCAAAAAGACAAGAAGCAGAATGCATTCATAAAGAATGATCATTTATTTGTATCTAATATTTCAAAAATATTTCAAACAAGAAGCCGGTGATGTCTGCTAAGCAAACATTAATTAAAACAAACCCCAGAGGCAAAGTCAGAGGTCACCTGCAGAACGGCACTGCTGGAGCTGGAAAATGAGAATCAGCAGCTGACTTTGCCATCGGCTTTTCATCGGCGGCTTGAAACCAAGCTGTCCAGGTACAACACACTCTCACTTCATCACATCGCCACCCTGCTGCCACAAAGCAGCATGCTAGATATTGACAGAGAGAACAGCTACTTCCACATCATATTAATGCACAATATAATATAACATATATAACCGCAGAGAGCAGACAGTGCTCAGGCAGCCTTTGGCAAGGTGTTAGTGCTTAAATATCTCACCACAAGTGAGTCAGAATTTAATCTGTTGCTTTTTAGCATAATAATGGAGAGCAAGGGCCAAGCTGAAATAAAGCTGCTTGGAAGCCAAAAATGCACTTAAAGGGAAGACCGAGGAAAAATATCCCCCTGAAATGTATGTTTAATATTGTGCTGATACAGCTCGCCCCCACAAACTTTGGAGGCTATGCTTTTTCTTTACAAAAGAAAAGAAAGTCATATTCAAAACTGCAGTAAGAGCTGGAATTATTATTTAATATTTTAAACATTTCTATAATAACTTATGTATAAACTCTTTTTATATTTTTAAACTTGGACACCTGGACCTGGACAAACCTGACTCATACTGAGCTATCCCATGACCAGCTGTTCTCTCCTGTTTGACTAAATGGCCATTGTAGCTTCAGATTTCATTTCACTTTTTAATCTCAAATAATCATTTTCCATTGCCTGAAAATTTTCTTATTCAGAATTCAGATTTAATCGAAAATTGAAGTTTATTTTCATTACACTAGCTCATGACTTTGACTTTTAAATCTGATATTTCTAATATTTATCTTATCATTTCATCATCTGGAATTATGATGGAATTAATGAATTCTGCCTTTTATAATAAATATATATATAAACATTATGACTTTATTTTCTTTGTTTTCTTCATGGCTTATCTCCTTATTTTTGCATTCTTTTATTGAGTTAAACGTGATTCTTGAAGAAACTGACTGCCTCCGCGCAATTAAAACCAAGCGCTTGGCTTCGTGTGGCTCTCCGACCGTGAGCTCCCCTTCCTCGCCACATGGAGGCGCCGCAGACCCGCATTCCTGCGTCCCGCTTGCTCACAGTGCACACAGAAAAAAAAAGAAGTCGCGGAGCCGTTACAGGAAAGGGGGTCTCTTTTGAACGCTTTAGCTTGAAATCAGATGCTCCCTGTGCGGGATGTGGAGGGATCAGTGCAGGCGGCGATGAATGGAGCTGAGCGCGCAACTTCTCTCCAGTCCTGCCGCTGTTGTTGCTCCTGCTGCTGGAGTTTCCTCTAGGATTTGCTTCTTGTGACGAGCTGGACTTTACTTCTTCTGCCAACATGTATTCAGCAGCATTGCTACTGATGCTGGCCATCAGGATCTACGCAGATAGCATGGAGGGACCAACAGGTAAAAGAAGAGAAAAGAGAAATACTTAGTTTGGGGATGGCGAGGCATAGTCCGAAGGCAAGAGTTACAGTCTTAAAGTTGACTGTGAGGGGTTAAAACCGCCATGTCCCTGCAATTTACAGATTTATGCTGAAGTCAAATTGTCTTCTGCTCCGACTGTGGTTCCCTAACTAAAAAAAAAGTTGCCTCTGAGTGCGCGTTCAACTGTTTAAACGCGCTCCCGTCTCGCTTTCGGTGCTGTGAACTTTCTCCTTTGTGCAAACAGTGGCACGTTAATATTTCACTGGACATTAAACGTGACATTGCCTGCATCCTCACAGCATCATTTTATGACAGTGCTCAGTGTTGTGTGTGTGTATGTGTGTATGTGTGTGTGTGTGTGTGTGGGGGGGGGGTTCAGATGATGTTCCCGGTTTTCAAGATCAGATATAAAAAGTCAAAAAGCTCGAAAAAAGAGGATTCAGCAGTGTCTGCCTGCGTTTGACGTTTACTGCTATTTTTCCAGTTGTTCAGGCTTCATTAGGTGTTTTTTTTTCTAAACCAATGTCTCACAGAAGGTAAATCTCCTCTCAGTAATAAGTCATCCCTCATTGGATCTTATATTGCAGATGTTTAACTTTCTTGTGTGTTAATAGCTCTGATGGAACATCTTGCATGATTATGTTGCGGATGCATCGGGTGATTTGTTCACTTTGTAACACAGTCATCCCTCAGAGCTGTTTTGGAGTGTGTTGCCTGCTGCTACAAAGCAGCAACCATGGAGATGAATTAGTAATGTCAGTGTTTGTGCTCGGAATAACCGCACTGACAGCTGGTCCAGATATTCTCTGTGTGGATCAGTCAAACTCTTGATAGACAGTTTTGAAGTATTCTCAGAGAGGAAAACACATTTTGAAGCTATATTACCTGAAAACCACAGAGCCCGTCTGAGCTGTGAGTTCAAATCCTTCTCATTTTGCCTGTGGCTAGTTTAACACTTAAATGGCTGAAGTAGTGTGTGAAGACTCCTAAAGGCCGTGGGACGTTATCTTTTAAAGAATTTTGTGGAATACGATTAGAAAGAGGAAAAATAAAACAGCCCCCAGTCAGCCCCTTATCAAGTTTGTCTCATGTGAAAGTGCAAGTTGACTTTTCTCAAATGCTTTTCAGCTTGTGTGAATGTTGGCAGTGCGATATAAATACTTTGGTACGTAGGTATCAGTTACACGATCACCAGAGCCAGTTGCTGAACAGCCGTGCACCGAGCCACTCCCTGCTCTCTAGGACCGAGTGGATTCTGTGGGCAAGATTTATTGTAACAAGCCACCTGTCTTTTGATCTCGCATGAAATAGCAGACAAAATATTTCAACATCACTGATTCACATTCTTTTTTATTCATATCACCAAGAATAGACACTGATTTCCATGGAGAAAGTCAAAGCTAGTTCTAATTGCATATGTCTTGGGTCATTGCGGTGGACCTCGGCCCTTTCTGTGACAGACTGAAGGCTGTTGTCACACAGTAGGAGTGAAAAAGTGTGTAAATTCACATTTAAATCATATTCTGCTAAGTGCATTTTCACCTGCTGCTTCTCTTTTAAGTATATCCGTCAGAGAACGCTGTCATTGCAAAACTGCAATGCAGTATAGATGAATTTGTGAATTTATATGGTGTGACTTTGTCATAAAATTGCAAAAAATGAACGTGATTTTCTAAAGCTCAAGACATTTTCTTCAAATGTCAGTTCACTTCCAAACCCCAAAGATGATTGGACCCATATATCGAACAATATCAGTTATTTGCAGATCTATCGGCTTTAATAACAGTTGATACATGAAAAATGTAAAAAGTTATACGTTATGAGTAGTGGTTTGTCCACCAGAGGGCACTGAGCAGATTCTCTGTCGACAACGTTCGTATTTGGAATGCCATCACCAAATGCGGATAAATCTTTTTTTAAAAATCCAATATTTTGAATATCTATATATGGATGTATATCAGAAAGAGTACCTACTTCTTGCTTCTGTCCAGATTGTTTGCAAATCCTTGATGTCCCTTGTTTAAGTCATTCTCATGCACTCTTAGACCTTCTGATTGGGTGCTGGAATTTTAAATTTTATCATTACTTGCCAACATTTTTTTCCATGTGTTTATAACCTCGTTAAAGCATTTTGCATCATCGTGGTCAAAGCATTTTGCACTACTGCATCATAACTTGAGATACTGCTCATGTTGTTTCACTGCTAAAGACAGCTCACCACCCATGATATTCACCGATTAGTTATCTTTGGATCAGATAATCAAATGATTGTTGCAAATTTTGCTGTTTTTTTCTATTGATACAAAAATCACAGTAGCAGTAACCTTAGCATGTTGAATAGCATCAGAAATAAAGACCTCTACATGTTGTTTAAAGTTGTCAACAATATTATTAGAAAACACTGCATACATTTTCATTGCAGTGCAGATGAAACACATCTTTATGTATCCATGAAGCCAGATAACTGCACCAATTAGTTAAACTGCAGAAAAGTAATAAAGACATAAAGACCTGGATGACCTCTACTTTTCCAATTCTAGATTCACACTAAACTACGGTTACTGTACTGCTGGCCTCCAGTAACACTGTGAAGAATTCAGAAGTCATTTTTGTCCAAGATATGTCCTTCAATGTGCTCATTAAAAAAATATGTTGGACTGTTTTCATTCATTCGTGCAATAAATCAAAAATTACCAACATCACGTGTCAGAGTGATGCTGAACAGTTAGACTGAGACTGGCTTGAGAGACCATTTTTTTCCATATTAGCTTCTTATCCTCATTGGCTTTAAAATCTATGGAGCCCCGCAGGGGACATGGGAGGAAAAAAAAATTAAGACGGACTTTTGCGAGATTTCGCAAAACAAACTCGGGATCTCGCAAAAGTTTTGCGAGATCTCGCAAAAGTTGAATTCCAACAATGGCGGCAGCTACTTAGTTATAATATTACTCTTTCTGGGTCACAAAATACACTTTTAAGATATTTTGAGGCGTGAATGTAGTTGTGTAAACGTCAGATACCTGCTCGGTTTACAAGACATCACATATTTGCAAAAGTGCTACGACGTTTTCGGAGATCTGACACCCCGAACGCCGCTTTCCCGGCACATCGTGCCTCGACCTCCCGGTCGGCTTCGAGCTGGCGGCCTCCGAAGAATGCGGCTAAAACTTTTGCGAGATCCCGAGTTTGTTTTGCGAGATCTCGCAAAAACTTTTGCAAAAGTCCGTCTTAATTTTTTTTTTCTCCCATGTCCCCTGCGGGGCTCCGTAAAAATCTTTATCCTTAAGTAGAAAATCTTGAATAATCAGGCTCTGTCATAACTTAACAAACCTCATAGTATCTAATCACCCTAAAAGAGGGCTTCAGAGTCAGACTGCAGGCTTACTTTTGGTTCCTAGAGTTTTCAAAAGTAGAACAGGTGTCAGGGCCCTCTACTCTGGAAACAGCTCCAAGTTTATATTCAGGAGACAGACTCTGTCTCTGCTTTCAAGATGGGGCTTAAAACTTTCCTTTTGATAAAGCGTATGGTTACGGCTGGATCAGGTGACCCTGACGTTAGTTATGCTGCAATAGGCTTAGGCTGCTGGGGGACTTGCCATGATACACTGAGCATTCATTTTTCCCTCATCTCTTTTTGCTCTCTGTGTGTTTATACACCACTACTGCATTTAATCATTAGGAATTCTTAAATGCAGACTCTCTCTTCCACAGTTTGCCGTTTTTGTCCCGTCTTTCTTTGCTTTCTTCTCTTTCCCTTCATCCCCAACTAGTCGTGGCAGATGGCCGCCCCTCCCTGAGCTCGGTCCTGATAGAGGTTTCTTCCTCTTAAAAGGAAGTTGTTCCTCCAACTGTCACCAAGTGCTTGCTCATAGTGGGCCATGTGATTGTTGAATTTTCTTTCTAATATTGTAAGTATATTGAGGTAGAAAGCTAATTTGAACTGAATGAAATGCAAGCAGAAGTAAAGCGAACTTGGTAACATGCCTTTTCATTTTGAAATGTATTTTATGCTTAAGACTTGAGGGGAATGAAAGACTGTGAATTAATTCCCCAGCTGGATTCAAGTTAAGAGCCGTTATAGTTTGGGGTCAGCAACTTAATCTCTCAGTGACAACAGTGACCTAAAGATTAGGTGTCTGCGTGACAGGCTGCCTATGAGTTGCTAAGACACTAATGCTTTAACGTTTGGAAATAGGACTGTAATGCATCATCACGGTTACCACTTGTGGGTACACACTGAGATTTACATATAAATCAGATTGCTTCTATTTATGCTCCCTTGATATTCACAACTAGGCTTTGCAACCTACAGTAGATTCACACGAGGAAAAATTCTTCGAGAAAATCCTTTAAGGTGGAAGGAAAATGATTCGAGTTGTGTTTTACAGAGTTCGTTTGTCATTCATCTGACCAAGCTGTCACTGCAAACTTTTGCCAATTGTAGTTATGTGATGCTAAGAACACTTTTGGTTGGTACTTAAGGTTCCCCACACAGCTCTTGGAATAAATCATCAAAGACTGAGCCTGGCAGTTTGTTGTCGGATTTGCAGGTACTGAAGTTTTAACATATCCCTTTTGCTGCCTTTTGAGGCTGCCAAGAAGTTGTGTCATGCAGCTTTAATGTTGATCGGAGCAAAAACACAAGAAGGTGCAGTGGCAGCCCCACTTTCTAATTCTGCCGAGTGTAGCTGTGTTTGCACCTCAGCTCCAAAATCTGGCCTAGAGAACGTGTGATCGCTGAGGTGACACCTGGCGTGTTGTTTAAAGGTGCCCAGCCCCCTGTTAGCGGGGGCTCTGAGAAGTAAAAGCAAGAATGTAATTTAATCTTGAAACGAAACCACGTGAGTGAGCTCCGACACTGAGCAGCGCTGACATGCGGCTCCAAGGATTCTGATATTGGAGGAAGTAAGCTGGAAAAGATCGCAACGAAAGTGAGCGCTGACACGAGAAGGTGCGCTTTCATGGTCTGTTGGGAGGAT